CTAGGAAAAACAAATACAATGGAAGTCAATGGTTACCCATTTCCAGGATTTTTCAGAATCATTCCACACTAGCTTGTATACATATTTTGGAGAATGCTAGATTATATACTGCATACATCCATAAAGTGATAGGAAAAACACAATGGAGGTCAACGTTCACGGGTTTCCAACATTTTTCTAAATATCTTCACACTAGCTTATATACAGTTGAAGTCAAAATTATTAGCCCCCTTTGATTTTTTTTTCTTCTTTTTTAAATATTTTCCAAAAGATATTTAACAGAGCAAGGACATTTTCACAGTATGTCTAATAATATTTTTTCTTCTGGAAAAAGTCTTATTTGTTTTATTTCGGCTAGAATAAAAGCAGTTTTTAATTTTTTATGTACCATTTTAGGGACAAAATTATTAGCTATATTTTTTCTCGATAAGCTACAGAACAAACCACTGTTATACAATAACTTGCCTAATTACCCTAACCTGCCTAGTTAACTTAATTAACCTAGTTAAGCCTTTAAATGTCACTTTAAGCTGTATAGAAGTGTCTTGAAAAATATCTAGTAAAATTTTATATACATTCATCATGGTAAAGATAAAATAAACCAGTTATTAGAAATGAGTTATTAAAATTATTATGTTTAGAAATGTGTTGAAAAAATCTTCTCTCCCTTAAACAGAAATTGGGGAAAAAATAAACAAGCGGTCAAATAATTGAGGAGGGCTAATAATTCTGACTTCGACTGTATATATTTTCACCCTTAAATAAACATTACTACTATGGAAGTCAATGGTTAGAGGTTTTAAGCTTTCTTCAAAATATCCCCTTTTTTGTTTAACAGAAGAAAGAAACTCATGAAGGTTTAGAACCACTTGAGGGAGAGTAAATAGTCAGTCTATTTCATTTTTGGGTGAACTATCCCTTTAAGCATAGCAATCTGTGAAAAACCTCCTAGTGCACCTCTGTATTACTTCATCATTCGTGCTGTAAAAGGTACATGACTGCTGAATAAATGCTTCAATGTTGGGCTGTAATGTTACTTTGCACTCTAAAAATGCATTATTACTCAACGCTGGGTCGATTATGCAAAGCCATGGGTTAGCTGGGTTAAAGAATATCATTTAAATTTAATTGGAATAATTGGGTTTGTCGATATGTGATCAATCGTGGGTTAATACCACCTATCGTTTTTAGAGTGCGATATTCAATCAGACCTTCATTTTTAGATCAATGAGTTTATTTTTTTACTATTACTACTGCTACTTTTAGATTATTTTTACTAATAGAGGTGTTGATCTACATTAGTCTCACGGTTCAGTTACGATTATCATGCCATCGATTCGGTTCAATTCGATATTTCGGTGCATCACGGAGCATTGATGCTGCTTTCCATACACAGTTTTATATTTTCTTCACAGCAGCATTTCTTGTATTGAAATGTATGAATATATTTATATTTATATACTATTTGTAATACAATTTTGTCATTTAATACAAACAGTCAGATATATAAACTGTAACTTTAAACAAAACAAGCATTTAGCAAATAATATAAACATGTAAATATCCAGCTCACTTTCTGATCCTTGTCTAGTTCTCTTACACCCCTTTGATTGGTCACACCCTCAACAAAAACGGTTGCGATTGGCTCTTGCGCGCTGCGTTCTTCACAGATGAGTAACACTGATAAGCGCAGACGGCAGCGGCGATCTCACAGCTGATGTATGATAGACACGGTGGAGAAAACTCTGCAGACACGCGCTCGTTTCTGTATGCAAAAGTAAGGTTGTAAAACAGCCGAGAAGAGAAGAAAAGCCACGCCAGCAGGTCAAATGGGCCACTGTGTGTGAGAAAGAGAGAGAGTCAGAAGAGAGAGAAATGGAGTAGGCTACTTTCATTCTCTCGATCTCAGTGAAATAGGGGCTATTGTTGTATATGTCAGTGAAAGACTGATCCAGCAAACACACACAGTGAAATTGTGCACAGTTTATGAGTTTTAAGTAGTTAAAGCGCTGTAAATACTCGCGATCGCCTCCCTCGTGACAGAGCGCATATGAGGTAAATGATGTCAGTAATAACCGGTTATGATTATTACTGAACCGATACCGAATTGTCCGCGTCTGCATCGCAGTGCACCGAAGAAACAATTAATTTTGACACCCCTAATTACTATTATTATTAGCACCGAAGAAACAATTAATTTTGACACCCCTAATTACTACTATTATTATCATTATTATTATCATTATTTAAGCAGTTATAAGAGTTTGATTAGATCAGAGGTGTCCAAACTCAGTCCTGGAAGGCTGGTGTCCTGCTTAGTTTAGCTCCAACTTGCTTCATTTACATTGTGTTTACATTTACATTTGTGACTTACAAATGAGGACAAGGAAGCAATTTACTAAACTATAAGAGTAACAATAAATAAGTGCTGTAGGCAAGTTTCAGGTATGTAAAGTGTAAGAAGCAAAACATTATTAAATTTTAATGTATTAATGTTTTAATGTTTATAAAATTTTTTGTAGTACAATTAGCGGTAGAACCAGAGAGGGAATTGCAGATTAGGAGGTGGAGTGGAGACTAAATAGTTGAGTTTTTAGTCGTTTCTTGAAGACAGCGAGTGACTCTGCTGTTCTGATGCAGTTAGGAAGTTCATTCCACCAACTGGCCAGATTGAACGCGAGAGTTCGGGAAAGCGTTTTCTTCCCTCTTTGGGATGGAACCAAGAGGCGACGTTCATTCACAGAACGCAAGTTTCTGGAGGGCACATAGATCTGCAGAAGTGAGAGCAGATAAGAAGGAGCAAGGCCAGAGGTCGCTTTGTAGGCAAACATCAGAGCTTTGAATTTGATGCGAGCAGCAACTGGCAGCCAGTGCAAACGGATGAGCAGCGGAATTGACATGTGCTCTTTTTGGTTCATTAAAGACCACTCGTGCTGCTGCGTTCTGAAGCAGCTGAAGAGGTTTGATAGAGTTAGCTGGAAGCCCAGTTAGTAGAGAGTTGCATAAGACCAGTCTTGAGAGAACAAGACCTTGAACAAGGAGTTGAGCTGCATCTTCAATACACTTGCCAAGAAGTTTCTAGTATCTGGTAAGAGCTTGATTAGCTGGTTAATGTGTGTTTGAATCTGAATCTGCCCTGTTGTTTACAAGGCTGTATAAAGCACGAGTGGTTTCGATTTCTCGCTTGCGCTCACCGAGCGTCTATATTTGAAATAACGAACATCTTGAGCTGATGATAATAACGTGCGCTTGATTATTAAAGTGTTTCTGACATCCGATCCTTTTAGAAACGCGAGAGGAAAGCGTGACAAAACAAAGGAGAGATTGATTCTTTCAGCATTTTAAAACATGAACAAACTGCCATGTTTATCTATTATCATCACCTTTTGGGCTATTATGAGCTCGGAATGATGGAATTACTTTCTAACAGAGGCTACATGTGCTGCTGCAGATTAAAGACACCGATATGAGGTTTGCACTGACTGTGGGCTACATGTTGCGTGTTGTTTTTGAACCCAAATAAGGACTACATGTCTGCTGTGTGTAGTTTCTCTGTAGTTGGTAACACATCGGAGACTGTAAGGGTCTGTATGTTCATATTTCCTGCATTTATTTTGTTTTTATAATCGCAGACGTTACAGTAGGCTATTTCACACATCATTGATCTGCAGTTATAATCAAATCATGTTCATAGAAAGGTTAGTAATAAACATTTATACAGAAGTATTTATGTGTGTAAAGCCTCTGTTTTGTGAGAAGAGCTCCTCGTATGATATGTGAGCGACCCATACAGTTTTACTGTAGACATTTCCTCGAGTGAAAATGAGGTCCTCTGAAACTTTGTTGTACAATGTCGTACCATTAGTACCAGTTTGGCAGTGGAAACACAAGCCTGATAAAGGTGACCCGTACCGACCTGCACCATACCGTACTGTAATAAAGATATAACCCGTTTGTAACAACAACATCTAACGTTACATCAGATTTGCGTGAAGCTAAAACAGTTTTAAAACAGAATATTACCTGTTTAAGAGAAATCCTTCAGCCATGGTGACATCCTTTCTCCAGCGTGCAGAGGTAACTCCAATATTGATTAAGGTTTTTAGAAAGTTTTGATTCAGTAGGTTTTCGCATGGCGTTCTGCGGAGATGCGTACAAACGGCTGAGCAGTTGTTCAGATCTGCATTTGCTGACAGACAGATTGGGCTACTTATCGGAATTATGAGAGATGTCGGTCCGACTCTATTTAATTGGATGAACATATTTTAGTTTTATGCCTTACCCAAAATATAAAAATACATATAAACACTTTTAGATCATTTACTTTAATCAGTACTATTAGACTGTTAAGATACTTTCAACCAGCACAACAACAAATGCTTCTGAAGACAGTCACCTACTGCATCTTTAAACTAAATACAGCAAAATCTAACATTGGAGACCACTGATGTAGAGCAGGGGTTCCCAAACTTTTCAGCCCGCGACCCCCAAAATAACAACGCCAGTGACTCGCGACCCCCAATATCCTCTGAGGTGGTTATAAATACAGAAACCTTGCATGCAATGACGCAGACACACCAATTAAATTTGTGTCAATGCTTTAAATGTGCCAGAAAGTATAACCTGATGTTATAAAATCAAAATGCATCTGACGCTATTGCTGCCTTTATTATAATGTAATTACCCCAGGGGTCGCAATCCAATAGAACTAGTAACTATAAGCTACTATAGTAACTATATAGTATATAGTAACTATAAACGACTATTTTTATTTTCAGTATAGTTATGGATAAAATAAGTTAATTCTCATGGTTTAATAAAAATAAATAAATTTTTGGAAATCACCAGGCGACCCCCCTTCATTGCCCCGCGACCCCTCGGGGGGTCCCGACCCCCACTTTGAGAACCACTGATGTAGAGAATAGTGAATGGAGGGTATTGGGGTGATTTGTGATTCAGCAATCATCTCAGAAAACCCGCAATTCAGGCTCAATACTTACCTTTCTCATTCTCAGGCACCAACGTCTCAATCGGAGGTTCGATTTCTCCTGCTTCCAGAAGGAGGCTTTTGGCCTGTGTCAGAAATCTCCTCATTCCCTGAAGCATCTCCACTGCAGAACTGTGCACTGAGGCCTCCATTTCTTGCCTTTTCTTCTCTAAGAAGTCCTGAACCAGTGATCCAAACGTGGAGCGCCTGTCCCGGGAGAGTTCGTCTACCAATCTGGCAACTCTGCGCTCGGGAGCGAACACGCACACAAAGGCGGCCGTCATGCGGCGTAGAGTGGAGGTGGGGTTTGCGGATGGGAATCGGGTCCCGCGGGCAGCAGGCGGCCATTGGTGGGCGAGGTCAACCTGCGAGTGGACATGGGAAGATAACCGGATTCAAGGTTACCGCGGAAAAGTCAAGTTGTTAAAAATCACAATAAATTTAGGTTATATTGTTCCTATGATTTATGCAATTTTTTAGTTTTTTAGGGCTGTTAATTAATTAAAAAATAACTAATTAATCACACTTTTGTGTCATTAATTATGATTAATCATGAAAAGCCATATTTATTACAGAGATAAAAGACTTAAAGACTAATAAATAGTCTAATACAGTGATTCTCAAACTGTGGTACATGTACCACTAGTGGTATGCAGGCTTCCTTCTAGTGGTACTCGGAGGAATGAAATATGTCATGTACATGCTACATATATTTCAAAATTTATCAAAAATTCTGTATATAATATGCCATATATGATATATAGCCTATATTTCTGAGGTAATTTGCCACGTTTTTTTTAAACTATGCAGAGTTGCCTACTATGCTACTGTATTTCAATACTGCTCATTTTGGTGGTACTTGGAGAGACAATTTTTTGGTGGTACTTGATGAAAAAAGCTTGAGAACCACTGGTCCGATAAATAGTCTAATAAAGACTTCTTACAGGGACTTTGGTCACACCATCTCTAAACATTTAAATCTAAACAGTTTTGAGGGATACAGACACCGCAAGGACTATAGAATACATATAGAATGCCTAAAAGAGACTTATTTAGACACAGTCAAAGATGTTAGGTGTTTTCTCTTGTTGCTAGGAAACACAGACACGCACACAAACAAACACACACACGCACAGACAACGTGCGCAGTACAGCGCACCCGGTAAGCATTTCCTCAACTTCCTCAGCGATTCATCAACATGCACAATCATTAAATTTGCCTAAACTAAGCGTTCTAAAGTATGGCTGTATTTTACAAACAAGGATTCTGACACAGCAACGTGAAGCAGACACTATACAAAAGTTGCGTGTGGGGGGACACACGTCAAACTTAATGAAACATTTGAGGGCTCATGGAATCAACTTATAGGCAGAAGAATGGGCTGTCTTTGACAGCTTGCGACATCATCTGGCAATTTCACTGATTACATTTACATGGACACCAATACTCTGATTTTATGATTAAGATAATACTCTACTATGCAACCAGCGATTTTTGATTACCTTAAAGGACCACCCGAGTCATGAAATGAAGAGGTTTTTCTTTCTGTTCGCCATGCGGTATCAAATTCCATCAAAACAACACTCTTCCAGCAGTCCTTATTTCATATTTTCATCTAATAATTGTCACGAGGCATCAACAATATGCTACTGAATGAGAGTGAACTGCTGAACTGCAGTTAAAGTCTAAAGATTAAAAATGAAACACCCGAAATTGCATGAAACTCTGGAGGAAACACTGGATAGCCTGGTGATGCGACAATAATTGTTTTATACTGAAACTTTCCTTCTAAGAGTCAGGGCTCGAAATTGCGACCATTTTGGTCGCATATGCGCCCGAAAATTAATCTATGCGACCTCATAATATATTTGGGCGCATTAGTGCGACTGTAGATAATGGTTGTAGTGCGACCTGTTTTGATTTTTTGTAAAAACGTGCTGAATCGCTCTTCCCTGCCGCTATATTGGTTCATATTTGCTGTCAATCACTCAAGCTATTCCGCTGTCAGATGACAGGGAAGGAGCTTTTATGACCACGGGAAATGCAAACGGCTGAAGAGTAAAAACTTAAAGCACACAGGTTTGCAAACCCCACCTAAAATTGAGGCGCAGATGAAAGCGATCATGACACGTCACGTGGTGAATAATGATCCGCCAGCTGAGATCAATCGAGTACGCGCGTCATGGAGAAGGCGCACGAATCTCCATGCGTCGCATTCACTGCGTGTTCAGCGCAAATGTCCGCTAAAAGTCAAATCTACTACTGTACATATCATCGCCAAAGCAGCTCGCCTTTACTAAGTTTACACTGAAACTGCGTCTCATAACAAACAGCGGTATTACGCCGGTGGTATTCGCAAGAATCTTGCGCTGCCTGCTCATAAATTGGGTCGGCTGACTCGCCAGCTTTTCCACAAACATGAAAAGACAAAAGACTGAACCTTTAAATTGACACAAACTGAAACCAAAACTTTTAAAGAGTAATAGAAGTGAGACTTTACTTACTTTCTTTTGTCTATTCTTTTTTGAGGTGTATATTATTTTTATTTTTTATTTATTTACTGATGACTGCTTTGCAGCTTTCATCATTGAATTGAATGATTTATTATAATCTTTTGTTTGTTTTGTAGCAGAAATATTATTTATTAAATTGACATGCATATAAAAACAGCAGTACAAAATAAACATTTCTTACTGCAAAGCTTGATTTTTGTTTGATGCAAACTATACAATTATTTTTCATAAAGTAACAGACTTTTTATAGCAGATAACCTACATTCATGCACATTCAAGGCAGTATCATAATGAAAATGTAATTCATTGTTATTATTATTGTCATTTTCATCATCATTATTTTCTATGGCCTAATTATTAGACATTCATTTTGGATTTATTGCACACAAATATCAATGTCTTCGCAGCATTAGTTAGATAGTTGTTTCTGTTTTTTGTCAGTCCTATTGATGTTGTTTTAAAATACAATAAATCCTTTAAAAAGCAATTTGCAGCGGTGCTCATTCAGTTTTGGCGGGTGCTCCTAAATTTTTTCTGGTGCTCCTAAATTTATTTTGGTGCTCCTAAATATTTGAAGTTGGGAGCACCGGTGCTACCAAGTAAAAAAGTTAATTTCTAGCCCTGAAGAGTGCTTCCTTGGTCTTATCCATATTTCTTTGCATGTTAAACACACCTCGGCCACAAAAGGAAATAAAAAACTGCAACTGCGTTAATTGCGTTAATTTTTTTACGTGTTAAATATTTCAAATTAATCGCATGCGTTAACGCACTAATTTTGACAGCCCTAGTTTTTTTTAATAACTATTTTATTTAGTTTTTTTAGAGCAACAGTATCTCCAGCAGAAAGAGATGGTTCATATTAGGGCTGCATCCTATTGGAAAAAAACATTGCCATACTTTTTTTGTCTACAATTTATATCGCGACATGAATATAATTTCAAAAGATAACTTATAACACTATTTAGAGGAAAAAAACAGCAATTTTAGACTGATTGAGACAATTTTGTAGGAAAGTATCTGCATAAAACAGGCCTATAATAAACTAATTAGAAGCATATTACAACAAAGCCAATTTCAAAGAAGATGCAAATGAAATATATTGTGTTTTAAGATTATTTAACTGTGGAATTAGTATTGAAGCACAGAAATTCACTGTTTAATTTGTATAGGCTTCATTGTAAAAGTAAATACAATTATTCGTTGTTATAGCTTTAACTTTATAACTTCTTGGTTTAAACTGGCTTGAAATCTCACACAGTCACGGGTCTTTAGAACAGAGATGTCCAAGCCAGAGCCCGCGGGAAAAAGTTGGCCCATGGTAACTTTTAATTTGGCCCACAATCCCATATGATAATGGTTTAGAGATTGTAATTTTAAATTTAATGTAAACTTAAACTTGTTTGTTTTATTGTTAAGCTACCAAAAAAAAATCTGAAATAACAAATTTCAATTTAAATGGTGTAAATGTATCAGATTTAAAATGTACATATGACAGAGAGAGGACAATGCAGAGACTTTGGTGGGTGAATCAAGGTCAAGGCAGATTCTGCTTGACTAGTGTATTCAACATTGAACTCCACTGTTATAAATGTGATTATGTTTTTATTGGAATACGTTATAATTAAAAGGTTTTACTGTATAAGTTAATACAATTCAAAGTAAAGTTTTCTATTTATTTTTTAATATTATGAAAAAATAATATGAATTAGGAAACGGCAACTTTAATGTAAAATAGTTTGGTATGTGTATCATCAACCCACAGTTCTCAATGATATTTGGTTTGCAAAATCCAAAATAGTTTGGGCATGGGTGTTTCCCAGTACTGGGTTGCAGCTGGAAGGGCATCCGCTGTGTAAAATGTATGCTGGAATAGTTGGCAGCTCATTCCCCTGTGGCCACTCCTGATGAATCAAGGGACTAAGCCGAAAATGAACGAATGAACATTGCAATATCTATCCTAAAATGATATATTGTGCAGCTCTACTCCACATCAAGAGCTACTGGTCAGCCCACCATTCAGGAAACATCTGAAACTATAATTATTGTAAAAAGCGCTATCCAAATAAACTTGAATTGAAAAACACATCTCTTATGAACCAACGTCCAAACCTGCTTTAGACTTGAACAGAGATGTGTTTTATTCAATTCAATTCAATTCAGCTTTATTTGTGTAGCGCTTTTACAATGTAGATTGTGTCAAAGCAGCTTCACATAAATGGTCATAGTAACTGGATCAGGGTAGTTCAGTTTTTAGTGTTTAAGTTCAGTTCAGTTTAGCTCAGTTCAGTGTGGTTTGAAGTCGTTATTGAGAGTCCAAACATTGAAGAGCAAATTCATCGATGAGTAGCTTTACAGATCCTGAACCATGTAAAACAGAGGCGACAGCGTTTTACTTTACATCCAAAGAAAAGAAAGATCTCCAAAGTCGCCCTTTCAAGTTACTGTATAATTAAAGTTTTTAAAACTAATGAAGACACCAGACGTCAATGAATTTAATGATTTAGCCTGACCTGTTTACTGCTCCAAAATACTTAAAATGTTTCTTAAACAAAAATATATTGCGTTTAATAGGGATAAAGTTGTTGTTTTGTTACCCAGACATATAAAAAGAGCTAATTTTTGAGCAGTAATCGCAATAAACAGTGATATATTTATCCAAAATTATCGTACCATCAGAATCTTATCCCAGCCCATGCCTACCTGTGTGTCCTCTTCCTCCAAACTGCTGAAGGAACTATTGCTGTCCAGTTCAGCAAGGGAAGGAGCTCGAGTCCTTTCCAAAGCAAGACACACCTCGCCATCTTCAGGGTCTTTGTTGAGTTGGGGTAAGGAGTTACTCTAGAAAACCATGTCAAAACAAAACAAAGTTATCATTATTACAAAGCACATCATTATTATAACCCTTAAATGTCACATGAAAATAAAATACATTTTTTAGATGTTAGTATCAGTATTGTTAGTTCTTAGGATATCTATAAGCTAGTGTGCTCCAAAACAGTGCCAAAACTTGTTGTGAGGAGACATAAACCAGATATAAGGCTTGTAGTTTGTCACCTCCACCTAAATGGATCAACAGTTTTATTAATGTCACCTCATACTTCAGTTTCTCATTAAATCTTCTGACCAATCAAATGCTCTCTTGTGTCTCACATGCCCCGCCCCCTTCAAGACGCTTCACATTTGATGCATTTGATATCAACCACTCTCACTGGCAGAGCGGTCATAAAACAAAACGCTATTGGCTGTTTTCTTTTTTTAAAGGGGAGGAAATACTCTATGCCCCGCCCTCTTTTCATCTTTTAGTTAAGATTACGTCAAACATCGAATAAATGCAAGTCTCTGAGCATTTCACAAGACCTTTACAGGGAAAAAAATGTCATCCTCGCATGTTCTGGCTAAATGGATTCTATATATATATATATATATATATATATATATATATATATATATATATATATATATATATATATATATATATATATATAAATATATTTTAGGGATGCAACAATAAAGTTAGCCCATGGTTCAATACGTACCTCGGTTTTTTGACACGTGATTTTTTTTTATTCTATAGGCAATAGGAACAGTAAAAGATTAAGGAGAAAAAATAAAAATTATTTATTGCAATGCTCATTTTGTTTTACTTAAAAGCCAAGAAAAGTACTCCAGCTCCTAGTGTATTGTATAAAAAAAAATTAACACTGAAATCTGACAGCTGCTGGTAGCCCATGTACACACTGGGGAACACATAAAATCCTGCACTTTGAAAATAAACATACATGTGAAGTTTCAAATAAACACATTTGTACTTAAGTAAACATAAATAAACCATCTTAATTATCTTGGTGCTGAAAAAATGTGAGACTGTAGTCTGTAATGAATCGAGTGCGTTTATAAGATGACAAATGCCCATATCTCCAATCACTGAAAACGGCTGCAAATCTTTAGCAATAAACATCCGCGCTGCCTTTCAGCGGGGGATTGTTGCTGTTTGAAGGACTTTATTACCTTCTCTGCTATCCTGCCATCAGCCAGAGATATTGCCGAGTGATGGCGCTGCAGATGTGCAGTCATGGTTATACGTGTAAAACAATGCACAGTTTTTTTATTCACCGTTTTTTCTTTTATTGGCATTATACTTTTTGGCAAAACCGAAATGTCCTCACTCTACAGATCTGAAAGACGCCGGCGCTTTCTCGTACTGTTGCCTCACTTCACCGCCGCTCGCAATGTAAAGTGTGGAATGATGGTCAAGCGCCCCCTAACTTTAGAGCATAGTGAATGGATATTTATTCACGGGGAGGAGTCTCCTCACCTCAGCTCATGGATTTAGAGGCACACACAGTCAATTCAGAAAGATAAAAAACACACATAAATTATTTAAACGCAAAACTGAGAAAACCGCAATTCACAAGCATGTATTAAACCGTGGAGGTCGTACCGTATGGTTCAATATCATACTGAGAACCGTGGCATCCCTAATATATATATATATATTACACACACAAACACACACAAACACAAACACACTTATTTGACAAACACACTTACACAAATATTTGACTATATGGGCCCTATCATACACCGGCGCAGTGGGCCGCAAGACGCGGCACAATAGTCTTTTGGTAGTTTCAGCTTGGCGCAAGAGTAGTTTTGAGGCGTTGCGCTACACTGTTTAAATAGCAAATGCATTAGCGCTCATATGTGCGCTCATAGGCGTTCTGGTCTAAAAAGGAAGGCGTTCTGAGGCGGACCGCTGGCGCGTTGCTATTTTGAGAAACTATAATAGATTTTTCATTAGACAAAAACTAACCCGGTCTAAACTCCAGCGCAGAGTTGCGCCTCGCTTACCACTGCTTAATACGCAGGAGAGAGAGCAATAGGCAAATATCTTTACATATAAAAAAATGTAAATATTAAGGATATATATAGGATATAATAAGAATAGATATAGGATATAAATATAAAGGATTAAAATATTACAAAACATATTATTTTCTAGCCTACATAAATATGAAAAACCACTGCTTTTATGTCTTCTTCATCTCGGGAGGCTTTTTCAGTTCATTCATAACAATTTGCTTTTGTATAATGTTATTATTATTAGCAGTATTATTTATTATATCCATATTTATATTTGTTTTATTAAAAACAAGCTTAGATTTGCCCACCTGTCAGGTTTTAGACCATATGGGGCACAGCATGTGTTTTAGGATATAACTCAGGTTTTTGAGCACATTTTGTTATTATTGTTGATTTATTCGTTTGCTGGAAATTAGAACTGAATTTAGAAATAGTTTTAAAACAAATATTTGTGCTTAACAAGCAAAATTAATTATTTATAGGCTAATGGATGTCTGTGCGTAAAGGTTTCCCTATCCAAGAACGAAAGTGAAAGTGATTCATTATCTCTCATTCTCACGCAGTGGATGCTCTGTTTAAGTTTTCTGTTAAAAAAACTGTTAACTGTTTGCTTGTGAAATGCTCAGTTTTTTTTCACTTAGACTTACTTTGCGTCCTGTAAATAGCGAATGCGCTCTTGGCGCGACGCAGCTGACTCTTAAAGGGAATGGGAGATGAGACTCTGATTGGTTTATTCTCAAAACACACCTATAACTCATTCAGAAAATAAACTCAACCCTTTTAGAACATACGCCGCAGGGCAGGGCAGATTTCCCGTCCTTAAATTAGCAAAAACGCGTCCTGACACGCCCTGAAAGCGTTTGCGCCCTGCGTTTTGCGCATGGACCGTCAAAATAGAGCCCTATATTTTTCAGGACACTTTATAGCTTAAGGACTATACAGCTTAAAGTGACATTTAAAGGCTTAACTAGGTTAATAAGGTTAACTAGGCAGGTTAGGGTAATTAAGCAAGTTATAATGAAGGTTTGTTCTGTAGACTATCCAAAGATATATAGTTTATATATAGTTATATATAGTTTAAAGACGCTGATAATATTGTCCGCATGTCGTCCAGCTCTACTTACAGGTGGAATCTGTCCCAGCATCTGTTCATCCTCTTCTTCTGAGGTGGGAGTGAGTGCTGGGGTCCGCCTAAGCACACTTAACCCTCCCGTCCGTCTTCTCTCCGAATTCTGTCCGTGTGTTTCCCCTGGGTTAAGTTCAGATTCTCCCCCCGACAGGCTGAGCGAGGTTTCGTTGGACACCCGGATCCTCAGGCTGCGTTTGAAGCGGTGCCGTTTGTGGGATGCGGTTCTGCTGGGTTGCGGAGGCTGAAGGAATAATGGATTGACAAAACATGGGCTGATCAACCTGGATGTCCTGTGGGGTGCTGAGGGCGGAGGGGGGCCATTCGGTAGTCCAGGGGACGTCTGAGAGCTCCAGAACTCTGATTGCAAAGAGTGAAACAATGATGAAAACACATGCGCCTGTGTCAGGAACATTAAATACATATGAAATAATGACCTGGGTGTTTTCTGAAAACACTGTAAAAAATGCTGGTTTCCACACAAATCCTTTATGTTCTGACAACACACATCTAGTAGGCTATTTTTCTTTTTTTTTAATATTTAAAAGGACAAATATCTCTAGGACAGTAGAGATTTCAGACAGGAAAGCATTGGGAGCAGAGAGAGGGGAAGGATCGGCAAAGGACCTCGAGCCGAGAATTGAACTTGGGTTGCCGTGGGCACATTGGTGCTATATGTCAGCGCACATTACCACTAGGCTATTGGCACCGACTAGTTTTTAACAGCAGATGTGATCTAGGCTAGTTTTTTAAGGCTAGTTTTTAACAGCAGAAGACACGCTAAGCTAGTTTTTAACAACAAATGACGCTCTAGGTTAGTTTTTAACAGTAGATGGTGCTTTGGGCTAGTTTTAACAGCAGATGACACTCTATGCTAGTTTTTAACAGCAGTTGGTGCTTAAGGCTAGATTTTAACCACAGATCCCTGCTGAAAAATCCAGCTTAAACCAGCCTAGGCTGGTTGGCTGGTTTTAGCTGGTTGACCAGGGTGGTCTTAGAGGGGTTTTGGCCACTTCCAGGCTGGTTTCCAGCCATTTCCAGCCTGGTCTTAGCTGGTCAGGCTGAAAAAATGACCAGCCAAATCCAGCTAAAACCAGCTTGACCAGCCTGGTTTAAGCTGGATATAGCTGGTTTTGGCTGGACTCCCAGCTTGGCTAGGCTGGTCAAGCTGGTTTTAGCTGGTCATGTCCCAGCCTGACCAGCTAAGACCAGGCTGGAAGTGGCCAAAACCCCTCTAAAACCAGCCTGGTCAACCAGCTAAAACCAGCCAACCAGCTTAGGCTGGTTTAAGCTGGATTTTTTAGCAGGGATGGCACTCTACAATAGTTTTTAAGGCTAGTTTTAAAAAGCAGATGGCGCTCTAGACTAGTTTTTAACAGCAGACAGCGCTCTAGGCTAGTTTTTAATAGAAGATGGCACTCTACGCTAGTTAGGGCTGCACGGTGGATCAGTGGGTAGCATGTTCGCCTCACAACAAGAAGGTCACTTGTTCAAGCCTTGGCTGGGCCAGTTGGCGTTTCTATGTGTAGTTTGCATGTTCTCCGCTTGTTAGTGTGAGTTTGCTCCGGTTTCCCCCACAAGTCCAAAGGCGAGGTACAGATGGCACTGTAGGCTAGTTTTTAACAGCATATGGTATTCTACACTAGTTTTTAAGGCTAGTTTTTAAGAGCAGATGATGCTCTAGGCTAGTTTTTTAAAGGACAGACGGTGCTCTAGCCTAGTTTTTAACAGCAAGCGGTGCTCTAGGCTAGTTTTTAACGGCAGGCGGTGCTCTAGGCTAGTTTTTTTAACAGCATATGGTACTCTACGTTACATTTTAAAGCAAGTTTTAACAGCAGATGGCGCTCTAGGCTAGTTTTTATCAGGAGATGGTGCTCTGGGCTATTTTTTAACAGCAGATGGCGCTCTAGGTTATTTTTTAACAGCAGCTGACACTCTAGATTAGTTTTTAACAGCAAATAGTGATCTAGGCTATTTTTTGTACAGCAGATGGGACTCTACGCTACTTTTTAAGGCTAGTTTTAACAGCAGACAATGCTCTAGGCTAGTTTTTAACAGCATATGGTATTTTACACTAGTTTTTAAGGCTAGTTTTAACAGCAGACAATGCTCTAGGCTAGTTTTTAACAGCATATGGTATTTTACACTAGTTTTAAGGGCTAGTTTTAACAGCAGATGGTGCAGTGGTGCTCTAGGCTAGTTTTTAGGGCTAGTTTTAAACAGCAGATGGCGCTCTAGGCTAGTTTTTAACAGCAGATGGCGCTCTAGGCTAGTTTTTAACAGCAGATGGCACTCTAGGCTAGTTTTTAAGAGCAGATGATGCTCTAGGCTAGTTTTTTAAAGGACAGACGGTGCTCTAGGCTAGTTTGTACAGCAGACGGTGCTCTAGGCTAGTTGTTTAACTGCATTTGGTACTCTACGCTAGTTTTTAAAGCTAGCTTTAACTGCAGATGGCCCTCTTGGCTAGTTTTTAATAGCAGATGGCACTCTAGGCTAGTTTTTAACAGCAGATGGCACTCTAGGCTAGTTTTTAACAACAGATGGTGCTCTAGACTAGAATTTAACAGCAGACAGTGCTCTAGGCTAGTTTTTAAGAGCAGATGGTGCTCCAGGCTAGTTTTTAAGGTTAGTTTTTTATTAGTAGAAGGTGCTCTAGGCTAGTATTTAACAGCAGATGTATTTGATAAATTAAAATTAGGCAAAAATTATCCATATGATTTACTGCTTCAGCCCAAATTCTCTAGTACTGTGATGCTACAATTTATTGTCCCATGGGGAGAAGAAGAAATTGTGGAAAACAGTGACAAGACAAATTCAAGATGGCGGATGTCCAAATTCCAAACAAACTTTTTTAACAGTCAGGATAAATGTTCAAACTCAAATGTAGCACCTGTGCAAGTTCATGAGCAGCTTTAGTAAAAATAAAATGCAAATTTTGTAGGAAATGCAATTACTGAATGATGGGACCATTAACAACAACAGTTGATGAAACGACAAAACCACAGCGCATGTATAAGCACAGAACTGGAAGTAAGAGGGTGTTAAGGATACTAAGTGGGTGTTTACATGCAAGAGCTACAGGTACAGCAGCAAAAAGGACAACTTAGTTTTAAGTGTTTCAAAGTGGGTGGGAAAAGGTCATGAAATGCATATAGTTTATTACCTAGACCCAGATGTGAAATGCTTTCCAGCTGGGTGTGTGTCACGGCCTGTATAATTGCTTCTGGGAGCTCGAGCGGGAAAGGCAAAACATCTCTGTTTAACACACACAAAGAGCAGAAATTACATAATACAGTTACAGATCCTTCACAGGAATCATTTACCTGTGCTGTTTGTTGATGTGTTGTACCTGCTGATGGTGTAAAATGCCACTAGTCTGCAGAGATCAGGGAAGCTCAGGGCGGAACTTTCTAGAGAAAATGCTAAATAGTGAAAAAGAAGAGTTTAATACATATCAATGTTCCATATTTAAAAAAAAACAGATTTACTGGGGACTTGAGAGTGCCAAGGCCCAATCCCAATTCTGTTTTTGTTCCCCCACCCCTTCCTCTTGGCCCTTAAAACAAGAGTGTGAAGGGGTAGGACTTCAAACTTACTTCTAAATAGTGGGACAGCCCTACAACACCAGCACTCGTCATCATATTTCGTCATAAGCTCTTATCTCGTATGAGAATGACAATGTCGACTGCTGTAGTTATTGCGTTATTTTTTAGTATTTATCTTCAGGAAATCAATGAAGGCAACAATATCATGTTATCATAACAACAAAATGTGTCAATAAGCTTGTAACTGTACTGTGCATTTACACCGGGGCCATGTCTGTTTAAGAACTAGATTAAAGACACATCTCTTTGTATTACCATCAGACGTCGCGTTAACCAAATATTTTACGTCATTGACGGAATTTTTTCAGCAGTGACGGAAAAATCTGAAGGTGATCCGTCATTTTGAGGGATTATGCTGAGGGTGATCTATTGTAATTTGTAGCTAACTGTAATTCCCACTCCTGTCCAGCTGATGGCGATTGCCCTTGTTTTGTCCCCTCTTTGTCACCGCTGCGTACAGTTGCAAAAATGTCGCAGCAGCTGAGTGTGAGAAGTTGTGATATTTATAATAAAGGTGAAAAAAGAGAAAGTGATGCAGTGGACGATGAAGAACAATACGATCCAACCAAGCGGCCGCTAGCAAGTGCACTACAAAATAATTTATTCATTTTCATTATTATTTTCATTATTATTTGTTTTTTGCAATCAATAAATGTTTATTATTAATTATTTTGTCCTTTGTTTGATTATTTTTGCTATAGGATATGTATGCTGATTGCATTTTATTCAAAGGTTAAACGCAGTGCCTACACTTCGTGTTTACATTATAGCCTGCGTTTGCTGTTATATCAACTCAAATGGTTGTAATACTATGTATCAAGTACCAAATTTAATACCAAAAGGTATATGAAGGTATATGAAGACCAGCGCCAGCTCTTGGCCGCAGCGCACATTACTCGCGGGCCGATTCTGGCTCGGATGTGGCTGTGTTGCCTCGCTTACGGCCGCCACATCTGGCCGGAATCGGGCAGTAAGTCCACAGGCATCAGGCCTGAGTACGGCAGCCGGAGTCTCCGACAGGAGAGAATCTTGCCGGAAATGGCCTGAGTGTATTTTGCTATCTGGGGTGCTTTGGAGTGCATTGTGAGCACTACCGGACTCAAACGGGTGCAGCTGCGCCCCTGGTGCTTACCAGAAGGTTCCAACTGGCCCATATCTATCAGCTGATGACCACTGATAATGCCCATTCAATCGAGTGATAACATTCGAATCAGCTAGATGACTTAAGGCCTTAAGGCTCAAATATTGTGCTACTTTACCAAGGAAAGGGGATTTTATTTAGATAAAACATTTCATACACAATGGTATTTCAAAGCACTTTACACAAACAAGTATAAGAAAAAACAAACAAATATTAAAAATGATTAAAAACAGATTAAAATGTCCTTAAAACTGGTTATAAAAGAATGAAAAAGAAAAGAAAGAAAGAGAAGTGTGATCCGTGGGACGCAGCAGCTAAACAGTTGTGTTTTCAGTCTTGATTTGAATGTGCCTAATGTTGGAGCACATCTGATCATTTCTGGAAGCTGATTCCAGCAGCAGGGGGCGCTGTTAGTAGCTGCAAGCTGATACACCCCGCTTTGACTGAACTCTTGGAATTTCTAGTTTAATTATTCTAAAGATCTGAGAGATCTGATACGTTTGTAGGCCTAGGCCATTTAGTGATTTTTAGACAAGTAATATAGAGTGGGGAAAATATGTATTGAACATGTCACTATTTTTCTCAGAAAACATATTTCTAAAGGTGCCGTTGACTTAAAATTTTACCCAGATGTCGGTAAATCCATATATGCAAAGAAAACAAATCTTATTAGTTTACAAATGATGTTATGCATAATAAAATGAAATGACGAAGGGGAAAAGTATTGAACACATGAAGAATGGGAGGTGTAGAAAGGCAGTGAAAGCCCAGACAGCAGCTGAAATCTCTCAGTAGTTCTTCAGCAACCCTCTGCCCTTCACCAGTGTAAATGAGTATCAGCTGCTTCAGTCCAACATCTACATTAGCAGGAGGATGAAGATGAAGCCAGGGTGGACACTTCAGCAAGACAATGATCCAAATCACAGCCAAGGATCACAGCTCAAATGCTTTCAGAGAAAGAAAATCAAGCTGTAGAATGGCCCAGCCAATCACCTGATGTGAATCCAATATAGATACAAAATAAAGCTCAGATTTGGTAGACGAGACCCACAGAAGCATCAAGATTTTGACACTCTGATGAAGTCTGTGGAAAAGCTCACACCTGAACAATGCATGAGGCTTCATTCTCTATATGAGAGGCGTCTTTAAGCTGCCATCATTAATGAAGCCTTTTATATAAAGTATTAAACACACCTCAGTAGTTCACGCTTTCATCTTGTGTCATTTAATTGTTATTACACACAACTAATCTTTCAGATTTGTTTTGTTTCATTTTTATGTTTGTTTGTTTGAATTTTTTATCAAAATCTGGTTCAATTCCATGTCAACAGCTTCTTTAGAAATATTATTTCTTTAAGAAATACTTATTTTCCCCGCTACATACAGAAAAAAAATACTTAAAGGGCACCTATGGTGAAAAATCTACTTTTAAATCTTTTTGGATAAACATATGTGTAGGTATAGTGTATAGACTGTCACATTGGGGTGATATAAACATACAAGCTCCTTTTTTTTCAAATTTAACAACATAAAAATGGTGGACCAAATGGAGCGGTATTGAGATCGACCGCAACTTGACGTAAGACTGCAGTCCCCCCGCCCACCAATATCGATTGACAGGCATGCATTACCACATCCTCAGTTTGGTGTTTCACATCTGACATTTTCAGCGTGTGAGTCAAACCGATGTCCCCAAAGAAACACCCTTGTTCTATTTTTGGATGTTAGGCTCATTGGGCTCAACAGAAGAGCCTTCAACGTCTTCCTGTGAATGCGCAACAGATTTTACATTTAGCGGTCATTTGCGCTGAACACGCAGTGAATTCAACGTATCGATATTCAGGTCATTAAAAACAGCTGATCCACCGAGTCTTTCAGCACTCTCTCTGAAAACATTCTATTGATCTCATCTGGCGGATCAACATTAAACACATGGGCTGCGTCCGAAACTGCATACTTCCATACTATATACTACGCTAAAATCAGTTTGTGAGCCGAGTAGTATGTCCGAATTCATAGAATTCGAAAAACAGTATGCGAGAAGTACCCGGATGACTTACTACTTACGGCGAGATTCTGGAGAGCGCATCCCATGCATGCTGCGCTATCCCATGATGCCCCGCGAGCGAATTCATGAATGGGAGTAAAGCGACGCAAATTACGCAGGTACAGTACATCACGTGACTATGTCAATATGGCGGATGTAGTACGTCCGAATTCCATTCATACTTTTCACATTCATACTGTATAGAACGTACTTTTCTAACTGCCGAGTAGTATGTTTAAATTCCAACGCAGTACCTACTGAGTAGTAGACGGTTTCGGACGCAGCCTAGATCTTTCTCATCAGCACAATTGTTTGTAACTTTAGTTGGGTTTTTGCAAACATGTGTACTTTTCATTGTGTCTTCCTCAAACTTCAGCCGTTTGCATTTTCCACGGTCACAGAAGCTCCTCGTCATCTCAACAACAGTAGGTGAGACTGTAAAGTGTGAGTGTTGCCTCGCGTCCCTAAATTGGAAATAACAAACTTGCCTTAGATATAATCTTTTTCAAAGTTATTCCAGTGTGTGTGGTTATTAGTCTCATGTACTTTAAACTAGCACACAGTTGGCATAACTTTGTTTATTTGCCGCAGTTGTTTCATGCAGAAACACTGTGTTGAGAAGCCTTTACGATTAATTCACCGTGACGAGTTAAAGCGTGGCTAATAGTGAAACCGGTTAATCGTTACATCCCTATATGGATGACACATGCATCGTTACATAGCGGCTGTAAAACTATACAAAGACACAAATGATTTTTTAAGTACCACTCTGACATATTCTAGCACATTAGGAATATTGATTCCTCAACAGTCGTCTCTGCTTGGTCCATACCTGTCAGCATTGGGATGTGAAAATTAGGGATATGCCCACCACAATAATACCACAAATTTTGGAGCTGTTTCATTGTAAATAAACGGTCAGTAGTATGTTTTATTATTATTATTTACAAAAGAAAAAATAAATACACATTAGCAGCAAATAAATTAGCAAACAGTTCAGCTTATTAAAATTAACAGCTATTATAAAGAATTAGAATCAAGATATCAAATCTCATTAGCCGTTTCTTCACTGTATAACTTGCACATTCTGATTAAAGAGCGACAAATTAATCTCTTGTTTATTTCGATTTTTTCATTATAATGTTTTTTTTGTTATCTAACGTTATAATGAAAGCATTGGACTGCTTTCCTAACTTTTTATGCTCATTTAAGACAAAATTAGATGTTTAAAAAAAAAAAAACACCAAGATCGACATCTTTAGATGTTATTATTAATTATGTGTTTAGAAACAGCATCTATTTATATCTATAGAGCGCGTCAGCTGACAGTCACGCACCGCTTTATGACTGTTTTGAGGATTGCATATGAAGAGACGACACCTGTAATGAAAAGGAAAGGGAATCCCACCATTTTTATATTTATTTAAAAGTGGTTTCATGCCTAAACAAAGCGAAAGCACAGAACAGACTCACATTTAAGAGCAAGTGGCGGCCCCTGGTGGTTCAGTGGTATGGGTTGCGTATAGGGAGGATCGGCTCTTTAATGTTTATTTGCCACCCTTCAGAGAAAAACTGAAAATAGGGGAGACATACGGGAAAATACCTTTACAAGATGATAGCAGGATAGAACTGTAAAATACGGGAGAATCCCGGGAAAAACGGAAGGGTTAACAGATATGGCTTGGTCTGTGTCCGAGTCGTACATGTACGGCTGAATGCTGGTCCTCTCACTCATGTTGCTTCTCTCTGTCTGCCTGTCTGTTGCCATACATGAAGCGGGGGAGCTCTTGGCTCCGCCCCCTTGTTAAGTTGGGCGGAAAGTCGAAACTAATTTTCATGTAAAGCAACACACCCCTAAAACAGCGAGGTGTGCACACGCCCCCAACATGACACTTTTAACGCATTCTAATAAAAAACAATTAATAAAACATAATGTCTGAATAGTGTTTGAACCGAACCTAAACCAGCACACTCAGAAGAACGATAATATTACTCTTAAACCTTAAAAAAGGAGTAAAATAGGTGCCCTTTACATGGAGAGTTAATTTATTCAGCTTTTTGGTGATATATAATTGTAAATTGTTTTAAAAAAATACTTATGTCTGGTTCTGTGGTTCATGGTCACAAATTATACGAACCAAAAGTTTGGTTGTAGGGGGGATCAGTAGGGGGGATCAGTCCAATACAGTGTGTGTGCTGTGTTAAACTCACTGGAATCTTCCTCACGAACAGGATATTGCGACACTCCTCCCTCCTGCACCCGCACACACAAAACCTTCCTGTGGGAGGCGCTGCACTTACACACCAGGAAAGTCTATGGACAAACAAAGGATATACAGCATTCATTGACCCTTATTAGATATAATAGTAGTTTATAAGAGGTGTAATTGGCTGATTGGCTGTTGATTACAGTTGTCTTGCTGTCCAGGCAAATGTTGCAGAGAGGTACATCACTGCATAATTACTGTAATTACTATGCTCAATAAGTTCTGGACAATTGATTATTCACAGAATATCAAAATCAACTGTAGATGGTAGATCTTTCTGGCACCTAAACTCTGGAACAGCCTTACAAGCACAGTTCGCGAAGTAGACACTCTGTCAGTTTAAAACTAGACTATACGCACATCTCTTTGCATTAACATACACATAAAACACAAATGCTCTTCAAATCCAAATCCTCTAAAGCAGGGATGTCCAAACTCTGTCCTGGAGGGCCGGTATCCTGCTGAGTTTAGCTCCAACTTGCTTCAATACACCTGCCTGGAAGTTTCTAGTATACCCAGAAAGAGCTTGATTAGCTGGTTCAGGTGTGTATGATTGGAGTTGGAACTAAAAGATATAAGACACCGGCCCTCCAGGACCGAGTTTGGACACCCCTGCTCTAAAGGATTGTTTGGCTGCATTAATTAGGGCAACCGGAGCCGGAAACACTTCCCAAAAGACATTATCATTTGAACAGCATCTACACTACATGGTTGTCTGTTTTTAATATTCCCGAAGTCTCCATAATCTTGGAGAAGGCCGTATCCTGAGCAGCTGCTGGGGTGGTCATGGAGGAACAAGAGCATGAGACGGATTCCTGTAAGACCACAGTGACAGACGAATCTCCGCATTGATCCTATGGGAAAGCCTGTACAACAGCTGGTGAGGTGACCAACTCACACCTGCAGCTTCTCCACGATGGACGTCCAGCATTCTCCATCCTCCGGCGCCTGGACTGCAGCTCTGCACAGGAAGTTTGGCAAGAGGAGAAATGTCAACGGCACCTGTCAATGTTTTTCTTCCTTCACTTTCGTCATATGGTGAAGTTGGACAAAGAAAACCACCCAGCTGGTCAAGTAAGCACAACAGCGGCTGTACTTCTTAGGGAAGCTGAGCAAACTTGGTCTGTCATCTAAGATCCTCAGCAACTTTTACAGCTGTGTGGTTGAGACCATCCTGACTAGCTGTATTACTGTATGGTATGGCAACGCTTTTGTAAACGACCGAAAACGTCTGCAGAGAGTGGTGAGGAATGCAGAGAAGTCTCTGCAGACTATCAACCATCGCAGAGTCCACGAGAGAGCTGCCTCCATCCTGAAAGACCCCACGCACCCACAACACAGATCATTCACACTCCTACCCTCAGGGCGGAGGTATAGGAGTGTGAGATGCAGGACTGCCAGACTCAAAAACTCTTTTTTCCCATCAGCTATCAGACTTTTAAACGGATAGCAAGTTGACATAAACGGTTTCATTTTCTGTTCAGTAGCACACTTTATTCTCCATCCAGTTTACACTATTAAATTGCACTCAATCTGCTCCGGCCATTATACTGTTGTTTGCACATAAACCAATTGCACTAGGCACTTTGTGCATAATCAGCACAATTTTAAGAACTACTATACATTGTTTACATCTGTTTACATGACTCCCCAATCAGTATTATAAATTGTTTACATTCATAGATATTTATATATTTACATTTAATGTGTATTTATGTGTATGACTTCACAGTGCACGGCAAATTACGAATTTCATTGTACAGGGAAATGTGTTTCCTTACTGTGGACCTGACAATAAACTAGGGATGCATCGATATGGATTTTTTGGCCGATATCAGTAAACCGATAACTCTTTAGACTTGGAGGCCGATAGCCGATATATACAGTTGAAGTCAGAATTATTAGCCCCCCCCTTTGATTTTTTTTTCTTTTTTTTATATTTCCCAAATTATGTTTAACAGAGCAAGGACATTTTCACATTATTTCTGATAATATTTTTTCTTCTGGAAAAAGTCTTATTTGTTTTATAACGGCTAGAATAGAAGCAGTTTTATTTTTTTTAAAAGCCATTTTAAGGAAAAAATTATGAGCCCCTTTAAGCTATATTTTTTCCTGATAGTCTGCAGAACAATGATACAATGATACTTTTGATTACCCTGCAGGATACATTCTGCTCATGGGGCTGCGAAACAATAAATAAGAAGAGCGGAGCTGCGGCTAAATAATGGATAAAAAGAGTGAGGATGTGGTCAAATAAATAAATCAATTTTAAAAAAGTGTGACTGCTGCTTTCTCCGTTCACCATGCTGGAGAGGAACAGTCTGCGCAAAAGAAGCGCAAAGTTGGTTTTATTAAATACAGCTCTCATCTGATTGGCTGAAAGGTACGAGTAGCCCTGACTCTGGCAGGAAAGTCTCAAAAATACACACACACACGTATCCAGGGGGAGTCGTACAAGAAAGAGGATTTGCACATTCTCATTCAGGATGAACTCGCAAGTTTTAAACATTCAAAACTTTTTGTACACTTTTATACATTTGCAAATGGTGTTTTGCATTTGTGAAACGAATTTTATGAAAATGTATTTTTATTTTGTGCACGTGAAATTTTTTTGTGAATATAAATAAATATTTTACGCACGTGAATTTGGTTTTATGCACGTGAATTTGGCTACGCATGTGCACATCGTGTCTTTTGCGTGAATTTCTTTTGAGACTTATCTGATTCCATAGAACTGAACTAAACTGCACTTCAGCTCTGAAAACTGGACTGGACTGTCTCAATTTACTTCTATGTTAAGCTGCTTTGACACAATCTACACTGTGAAAGCGCTATAGAAATAAAGATGAGTTGAATTAAGAAAAAGTTTCTAAATTAAATGTTTGAATTATTACAAATTATGCATAAAATTAACTATATATGTAAATATTTAGCTTTTGTATGTTTTTGTATGTCATATATTTGTTTATTTATTTATGCATATTTACACTGAGTACACAAACATTTTGCAAATGCAAACTCTTTTGATGCGATTAATAGATTAATAGTTTAACAGCTTTAATTGTGAGTTATACTCATTCTCATTATGATGATTCTCACCCCGACTATCTCTCGCTGCAGGATTTGGTGGGCGGAGTCAGGGTTGATTGACAGCTGCAGCCATATGGAGTGTGTGAGCAGAAGACGATCCAAAACACTCAAACTCCTCTGGAGAGAAGCGTCCATCTATCACCAACACAGAGAACAGGGGGCAAAAAAACAAAACAGTTACATTGCTTTATACAACACAGCCTCATTGTGAAAATGTACCCCCATATACATTTCTGGAGAGCACGAGTTATATAGCTAGAGGTACATATGGCTGCATTTCATCTTTAAATAGAACCCTACGGGGTGGTATGACACCTCGGACAGCTTCTGTTTCTTTTTGCGCTAACAACTTACCATTGACCTCCATGTAGGCGGCTTTTCCGCTTTATGCCCAGTAGCTCGCCATGTACGCCAGCAGACTTGAGACATAGAGCGGAGTTCACAGAAACGACGATGTTCGAGTCCAGGGAAGAACGGTTCCAGAAAGCAGGCAAAACAACAACAAAAGGTAAAAGAATAAAACAAACTAGTAAATTACAGGGTGAGCATGTGTTAAGATCTGAAAATGTGGTAAACATGGGCTTTTCTTTTGCTGGATTGCTTTTGAAAACACTGTCGGTTGGGTTTAGGGAAGGGGGTGGGGGGGAACCGCTGGAACCATTCTTCGAGATTCGTACCTCATCATCACGATCAACTCCTCTCTGCATCTCAAGTCCACCAAGGGAAAAACCGAGCCACTGGGCAAACTAGTAACAGCGGAAAAGCCGTCCACATGAAGGTAATCGGTCAGCTGGTAAGCACGAAAAGAAACAGAAGCTGTCAGCTGTGTCATGCCGCCCCCATAGTGTTCTTTTTAATGAGGAATTGCAGACATACGTAGCTCTGGCTACATAATTCACACTCTCCAGAAACGTATACAGGAAGGCTCAAAATTAACCCTTTTTCTTGGTAGCACCGGTGCTCCTAACTTCAAAAATGTAGGCGCAAAAGACAAAATTTAGTCGCACCCACCAAAAATAATGAGCACCGTTACTACACGCTTTATTTAACAAATTTTATTATATATTAACACTCTAATCACAACTAACAAATAAACAAAAATCTACATGCACTCACCGGCCCTGCACACACTGCTTGACGTGAATGAGATAAACTGAGTTAACAATAATAACTGTGTTGTTCTCAAGCGTGGTGTCTGGTATTGCACAGATGATATTGACATATAACTTATTATTTGCATCATCTTAATATCAATAACAAATATTGTTAGAACATCTTGTTCTTAAAATGTGTAGATTCAGTGGCGAACAAGGTTAACTGAAAACTCCATCCCACCGGCTTTACAGTGAATGCTTTAAGGCTGATTTATACTTCTGCGTCAAGTGCACGCGTATGCTACAGCGCAGCCTACGCGTGGACGCATAGCCTTCGTCGTGGCCATCGCTGACGTGCACCTCTCAAAATATGTAACTACATGTTGCAACTAGGGGTGTCACGATTTATATTTTTAATCGAAATCGATCGAAATTTATGCTCAATTTCGATTATCGAATCAAAAAAATAGAATCGTCGATGCTCCCATGCCCCCATGTCACGTCAGCTTGGCTTGCCAAGCGGGAAAAAAACAGGCTTGTTGAAGTGCTTGTTAAACTGTGCAGAAGCAGGAGACCCGTCGACAGAACTTAAACCCCCTCCTCTTTCAATGAAGTCGCCGGTGTGTAAGCATTTTGGATTTCCAGTGAGTTATGTTGACAACGTTTGTGTTGTCGACAAAAAAAACACAGTTTGCAAGCTCTGCTATGTACGTATTACGTATAGTTCGTCAGATAGACAACACCGGCATCGCGATCCTCCGCCCGTCCCCGTTGCAAATCCGCTCGCGAAAAGTACACACTCAGGCCCTGTTTACACTGTCTTTGTTTATAAATGGCATTTTAGAACGACAACGATTTGACATCCACAGTGGCGTGTAGCATTTCTGAGCAGCCCTCCTTCCTCTCTACCTCTGAAAATGCACATCACGTGACCACACAGACACAGACGCACACACAGCCATGCGCTCGAGACAGCAGGTCCAGGCAGTCAGAGGACTGCTTCAATCTTTCACTCACTTGTACTTTGTCATTTTAGTGAACACCTCAGATACTGTTGGCTGGTTCTTGTTGGTTGTGCGTCTTTTTTACCGACGCCATTATAACGACACAGATCACTGCCTATTCACGAGTCCCGCAGAAAAAGTGATTGACAGGTGGTAATTATGTGTGTATCTTGCCTTTATTCATTTACTGTATGATTTGTTTATGGGTAAAACAAAGACCATGCAGGTCAGGTAGTTTAAACGGTAGGCTACAAATAATTAATGGTCATTAATTAATTAATTATTCATAATCGAAAATCGAATCGAATCGTGCCTTTAGAATCGAAAATGTAATCGAATCGAGGAATTGGAGGATCGTGACACGCTTAGTTGCAACGACAAGTAGAGCAAGCTCTGCGATTGGTCGGCTTGGAAGCACTGACGAGCGTGGGCGGGGCCGAGAGCCTCGCGAGTCTGTTGGAGTGAGTGTTTACAAGTGTCTACTGTTTACAAGGAGCAGGATGGACACAGTTGCTTTGTGTTTACACCATGGTTAAAGTTGTTGCACGTCCGCCGGTTCCTGCCTCAAAATGAGCGAGTTTGAACCACTTGTACATTCAGGAAGTGTTCAGAAAAAACCAATCACCAGTGAAGAAACTCAACACAGAGGAACATAAACACCTCACTACCAACTAGCGCTTTGGAAGTGTTAATGCAGAGCAACAGAAACAGCGCACAGAAGTATGAGTGCACAGCTACACGCGTTGCATCCGCCGTGGGACACGCCGATCACTTGACGCAGAAGTATAAACCAGACTTTAGTAATTTTCATAGCGGACTTTAATCACTGGAAGTCTTATATCCACTCTTCGAAAAGTGTAAATGCTGGATTGACATTCATTACATGATCACTGATCAGATGTGCCATTATTTGTAACTTTAGGTGGTTTCTAAAACAAGAACACGCAAGGCGTGACAATATTTGTTTGCTAGTTTCAGCTTGGCAAAAGAGTAAATAACAAATGCATTTGCGTTCATATGTGCGCCCATAGGCGGTCTGGTCTAAAAAGGGCGGCGCGTTGAGGCGCATTCCTGGCTCATTGCTATTTTGAGAAACTATAATAGATTTTTCAATAGACCAGAACAAAGACAGTCTATTGTCCAGCGCAGAACGCGTTAGTTGTCCGCCACGCTTACACACTGCTTAATACACACAAGATGTAGAGCAATACACAAATATCTTTACATATGAAAAAGAATTAAAATATTAGGGATATATATAGGATATAATGATATATATATGATATATAAAGGATTAAAATATTACACAACATATTATTTTCTAGCCTACATAAATATGAAAAACCACTGCTTTTATGTCTTCTTCATCTCGGGAGGCTTTTTCAGTTCAATCATAACTATTTGCTTTTATATAATGTTATTATTATTAGCAGTGTTATTTATTATATCCATATTTATATTTGTTTTATTAAAAACAAGCTTAGATTTGTCCACCTGTCAGGTTTTAGACCATATGGGGCACAGCATGTGTATTTGGATATAACTCAGGTTTTTGAGCACACTTCGTTATTATTGTTCATTTATTAGTTTGCTGGAAATTAGAACTGAATTTAGAAATAGTTTTGAAACAAATCTTTGCCATTAAAAAACAAAATTAATTGTTTATAGGCTAATTGATGTCTGTGCACACAAGGTTTCTCTATCCACGAGAGCGCAAGTGAAAGTTAATAATTTATCTCTCATTCTCGCGCGGCACATGCTCTGTTTAACGGTTTTCTTGCTAGTGAAATGCTCAGTTTTTCCACTTACTCTTACTTTACGTCCTGTAAATAGCAAATGCACCATGGCGTGACGCAACTGACCCTTAAAGGGAATGGGAGATGAGACTCTGATTGGTTTATTCTCAAAACACACCTATAACTCATTAAGAAAATAAACTCAACCCTTTTAGACCATGCGCCACTGCACAGAGCAAATTTTTCGTCCTTTTATTAGCAAAAGTGAATTCTGACACGCCCTGAATAAGTTTGCGCCCTGCGTTTTGAACTTTGCGCACGGACCGTCAAAATAGAGCCAAAATTGATAGCTGATATTAACCAATCCTTGTGCATTCTGTTTTAGCGCAGTGGGTGAATAAGAAGAGCTTGTTGACATGTCAAATGTTTTAAACCATTCCAGAGCCCTACGTTTGGTGTTTTTAGGTGCAAAGATGCTTAACGCGTGAATGCCTTCTAAATCCGCGCATGTGGTGAACATTTTGCTGTGAAAACTGGTCGTACGACATCAATTTTATGCAGTCGCACAAATGCTCCAAAATATATTTTGAGGTCGCATAGATAAAATATCGGGCGCATATGCGACCAGAAGGGTCGCAATTTCGAGCCCTGATGGGGGTACGTTTTCACAATAAGCCTGTATTGGAAACAGGATATTAAATGAGAAAACAGTGGGCGTGGCTTGTTTTTCTACTGTGAGATGATTGGATGTAGTAAAGTAGGCATTTCATTCAGAAAGATGGGCAAAAGGGTTTGGGCAGTATCTAAAAGACTCCTCCTCACCATTTCTGTTTGTTGTCAAAACTGACCGCTAAAGGGGCGTGGTTAGGTATGTTAGCCACGCCCACTGCATCAGACAAGCCTAATCTGAGAATTTGACTGAAAACAAACAGGAAGTATATTTTTAGATTTTAATTAAAGACTTTAAGGGCAAACTATTTATTTTTTACCTTAATGGCATGCACAGATTAATTGTTCAGCACAAAACTAGCAATGTGAGCTAACAAAATCAATATGGTTACTGATTTCATGCTCACTTTAAAAACATAAACACTCAGACTACAGTACTTTCAGCTACAGTCAGTCAGCACTCAGTTTTACACTTTCTACCCTGTCCAAATCCATCCTGAAGTTTCACTCCCCACAAAAAAACCCTCTAGCACAGAAAGTGAGGTAAAAACTCAGTCTGGGCCTGCATGAAACGGGCAGACAATGAAGCGAAGCAGCAGTCAGTGCTTCAAACGCTCGCTGCATGCTCTGAC